CTGGCCGAGAAACAGCGTCGAGAGCGGGTGCACGACTGGCCTGGCCCTGCGGGGTAGGTGGGATACAGGGCCGGCACTAAGCCGTTGGGGTCCAGGGGAGCCCAGGTGACTCTGGCTTGGCCCTGCTGAGGCTGCGGCCTCCGGGCCTAGCCTCTGCCTCGTGCCTTGGAGCCCCATTGCCGCGGGGAGGCCGACAGAGCTGAGCAAAGTGGGTGTCTGGGCCCTGACAGCCGCCCCGAAGGCCTCAGGAAGGAAGCGGCTTGGCCAGCTGACGCGAGGCTGTCTGCCCGGCGGGTGAGTGGTGGCTGCAGCTTGGCCTTAGAAGTCGGGGTGGCTTTGTTGGGGGGATGGGGGCTCTAGGCCAGGCTCTCCTCAGAGCTCCTCCAGCCAGTAAACGTCCTGCGGGGATGGAAAGCTTCTGCACCTTTTATTTAACTGTAATGAATTTAAAATGTATGAAATAGCTGCACGTGGCCGGTGGCTTCCAGGCTGTGGTCACCCAGCTGCCGCGGCCCCGGGACCCGCCCCGCCACGTGCTGCCTCCCTTCCTCTGCTCCCAGCTCAGCGCCCGCCTCGAGGGGCTCGCGGGGTGTGTGTCCTCAGTGCCCCTTTCCTGCGTGAGGGCGCCTCCGTCACCGGCGTCTCTGACGCTGTGAGCCCCCTGGGAGCAGGTGTACCCCAGCGCGCGGCCTGGTGCCTGGAGGTTGTGCGAGCGCCACACTTGGCTGCCAGTGAACAGGTCACGATGGAACGTTTGCTTGTGTAACCGTCCCTCGTGTGACACGTGTGCTGTTGCTCTGCTAAGACTTTCAAATATCAGTCGTACATATTTGGGAACATGGGTCGCTTCCCAGCTGTGTGGTTGGGACAATTTGCTTGGCCGCTCAAGGAGGCATTTTCTTCATTTGTAAGATGTGGATAATACCAAACTCGCAGTGCGGTTCTGAGGACGCAAATGAGATAAAATACATGAACTGTGCACGACAGGATTGTAAACTCAATAAATGTCAGTGGATTTCTTCTGCTCTTCTTCATCCTCAGGAAGGTTTTAGTCCGTTTCGGGAACAGTGTTTTGTAACACGAAACAAGTTAGAAAGCATTATGCACTCATTCATTTATTCAGCAAATATTTACTGAGCGTCCTGTACATGCCAGGCAACAGCCAAGCCCTGGAGACGCGCCGGCAGACTAAACAAAGTCGCTGTCCTCACGGAGCACCTCTAACTGGGAAAGACAGAGCATAAAAGACTCATGAATATAACAAAAAAGAAGCAGACTCACAGATCTAGAGAACAAACTGGTGGCACCAGTGGGGGCAGGGCAAGGGGCGGAGCCGGACAGGGAGGGGATTAGGAGGCAAACTATTAGGTATCAAACAAGCTGCAAGGGTGCACTGCACAACACGGGGACAGTAGGCGATATTTTACAACAACTGTAAATGGACTATATGGTACAGCTGTAAGTTTGTAACATTGTACAGCAGCTATACTTCAACTAACTAAACCAACCATCCAGCTAAACGAACAAGCAGGCAGATCACACAGGCGCCCGTCTGCCACGGAAACCCAACAGGCTCGGAGGGTTGGCAGCGCTGGGGGGAGTGGAGACACCGCCACAAGCGGAGGGTGGGCTTTTCTGAGAAGGTGACTTCAAGCAGAGTTTTGGCCAGAGGTGAGGGGTGAGGGGTGAGCCGCACGGGTGCCCGGGAAGAGCGTCCCGGCAGAGGGAACAGCCATTGCCAAGTCCCGGAGGCAGGACACGCCTGTACCGTGAACAAGGGGCCGGCAGGATAGCGCAGCTGGAGCGGGGGTCAGGGCAGTAAGCGAGGCTGGGTCAGAGAGCATGGGGCCCCGAGGAGGGAGGTCTTGCGGCCATTGTAAGGAGACCAGCTCCTACTCTGAGCCAACGGGAACATCGCAGGGGTTTTAATTATCTGACTTGAGTTTTCGAAAGATCGCTCTGGGCGCTGCGCTGCGAACAGTCCGTGGGGAGGGAAGGGTGGGCTTAGGGAGGCGGGTCGGGATGTCCCAATGATCCTGGAGAGATGGTGAAGGCACCCCCACGCCACGTTCTCTCTCCGCCTTGTTTCACGTGGGCCCTTATCCACCTCCCTCTTAGACAACTTCGAAGAAAATTCTCCAGATTTTTTCAAAGAAAATTCCAGATATCATTTCAAGGCTCCTGATCTAATTTGAAGGTGGACGTGATTTTCCTGCAGATTGGATGTGAGGTGTAGAGGAAGGAGGACGAATGGAAGACGACGCCACGGTTTCTGCTGGAGGGGCTGGGAGGACAGAAGCGCCCCTGGCGGGGATGGGGGGACGCAGGCGGGCGAGGTGGGTGTGGGGATGGTAGGGGGTAGGGAGCCGAGGGCAGGACTGGCCGGCGCCAAGAAGGCCGCACACCCAGAGGGAGGTATTTGGAGCTGGCAGGTGGAAGTCCAGGAGGTGACGTGCATTTGGGAGAAGTGGCGTGTGGACGATGTTAGAAGCCGGGAGACTGGTTGAGACCATGGGGGCCGAGGGTAGAGGCGTGGAGGGCAGGGACCCTCCCGCCTGGGGAGGTCCGGGGGCGGGGGACTGCGGGAGAGCTGCCGGGCCCCCCGCCCGGTTCACAGCTGTTCCCACTTCTTTCCCCAGAGATTGTTCCCACGCACGTTCCCTAGAGCAACCTTGTGGTGCCTGCGGTTTAAAAACAGTGTCCATTTCACAGGGAGAAAGTCGTTTTATCATTAATCACATTCTTGTGATTTCAAGGGAGAGGGGACTTCTTCCATTGTCCAGTGACCATTTGTGTTTCTTCTTTTGAGTAAGAATAATTCTGCAGGAGATACCATTTTTTAAAAACATCTTTTATTAATTTATAATCATTTTACAATGTTCTGTCAAATTCCAGTGTAGAGCACAATTTTTCAGTTATACATGAACATATATATATTCATTGTCACATTTTTTCTCCAGTGTAGAGCACAATTTTTCAGTTATACATGAACATATATATATTCATTGTCACATTTTTTTCTCCGTGAGCTACCATGAGATCTTGTGTATATTTCCCTGTGCTATACAGTATAATCTTGTTTATCTATTCTACAGTTTTGAAATCCCGTCTATCCCTTCCTACCCTCTGCCCCCTTGGCAACCACAAGTTTGTATTCTATGTCTGTAAATCTATTTCTGTTTTGTATTTGTGCTTTGGTGTGTTTGTTTGTTTGTTTTTAGATTCCACATATGAGCGATCTCATGGTATTTTTCTTTCTCTTTCTGGCTTACTTCACTTGGAGTGAGGATCTACAGGTCCATCCATGTTGCTGCAAATGGCATGATTTCA